CCCCCCCCCCCCCAACCTCCTCCGCCGTCCCCTCCCCCGCTTGCTCGGGTGCCCCTTTGGAGGAGTCCTCCTTTCCCTCTCCTCCTTCCCCCCCCCCCCATCATCATCATCATAACAACCATCTCCGCAACAGAAGAAGACACCCTGACCCAGGACCTTAAACATTAGGACCTGGGGAAGAGGAAAGGGGAAGGAGCAAAGAGAAAGGAAGACTGGGAGAATACTACAAAGCAAAACATCAGAAACTTTTCACCCTGGATTCTCTACTTTTGCTCCATGGACAGAGCCCCAGCCAGCCAAGTTTCAGACAGACCGTGAGCAGTAAGTACGCAGGGCGAGGGCTCCCGTGCCGCGCTCTGGAGTTCGGGGAAGCCCCGGGGCCGGCTAATTCTCTCCCTGCAGCTCTCGCCCTCTCAGATAGCAAAGCCGGGGAATGCGGGCGGAACCCTCTCTAGCAGCCCTCCTGCTCCTTCTCTGCATCTCTCGCATCCTTCCTTTCACCGCTCCTCTGCCACCCCCACCTTGTCTCCTTGACCCGTGGCGACACAGCTTCTCCCGCGGCGAGAGCGCCCGCGAGGATTCCCAGCGCACTGTATTGTGCCGGGTTCCTGCTCCTCGCGGGTACGGTGACAATGCGAGCGCCGATTCATCAGGTGTTTCCCCTCCTTCCCCCCCCCCCCCAGGGGTGGCGAGACCTGTGGCTTTTGTGAGCAGCGCGCTGCCACCCAGTCAACCCAGAGGAAAACTTTCTGGAGCGACCTAAAAATTGGGGTTGATGAAGGCTGCTCTTGCACCTAAGAATTTAAATGCTTTTGCTTTGGGGTTTTATGCTAAAGAGCTTTTAAGCACTTAGGATCGGATGAAGATAAGAACACTCCAAAATAGAAACGATCGTAGTAGCCCCCGCCCTTGTAATGGAGGTTATTCTGATGAATACTTCCAAGTGTTTTTGGATGTCTGTTAATGTGGAATTAGGGTTGGTTTTATGCAAAGCGTGTGTCTCAGGACTTGTACCGTAAAGGTAAAAAGCGGGGATTCAAGGGATCTTTTACTCGGCCTCTGGCTCTTGCCCGGCCATTCATAGCGCATTTATCAAGTGGTTGGTTCAGTTATGGACTTGTGTACACCCCTCACTCCCTCCTCGAATGGGCGAAACTTCTTTTACTGAAGTTCACTGTTTCCTCAGCCCTGACCCCAGACGGCGAGGCTCTCGCACCCGGGAACGGTTTATGCCAACACTGTCTCAATGAATGGGCCACTTCTAGGAGCCCCTGGGCGTCCACCCCGGCCGCGTCACCTAGGGCCAACTCCTGGAGAACAGTCACCGGGTAGGGTCGCAGCACCCCAGCTCTGGGCTTATTTTGGGCTGCCCAGTGTAAGGCTGGGACCGTCTCGGGCCCCTCGGGCAGCGTGGGAGGAAGTTTGTGTGGTTGTCGTGCAGCGCTCTGCCACTGGCCTGAACGTCTATCACGTGTGTGAGCGGTTTTCCCTCTTTTTTTTCCCTCCCCTTTCCCTCCCTCCCGCCCCCTCCCTAGGTCCCTGCGCGTTTTATTGCGACCTGCCAGTGGGAACTTTGTCTCCGAGTCGGAGCAGCATGGAGCGGCGGAGCGAGAGCCCGTGTCTGCGGGACAGCCCCGACGTGAAGGGGCCTCCCCCGGTGAAGGTGGCCCGGCTGGAGCAGAACGGCAGCCCCATGGGAGCCCGCGGGAGGCCCAACGGCGCCGTGGCCAAGGCCGTGGGAGGTAACAGCCCCGAGCAGGAGGCGCGCGCAGCCCGCGGCACAGTGATAATGGCCCGGGTGCCATTAATGGTCAGGGTTCAGGTTGATTAGGCGCTGTCGAGGTGTAGGATTACAGGAAGTGAATTCCGGATTGCCAAATAATGCCCCCGTCCCCTCTCATTTGCAACTGTTAGCTTCATCTTGAGTTAAAACAAGAAAGTGGTTTACCCAGAGGGTGGCATATTTTGGGCACTTTGCCACTGTGTGCTGAGGTGTTGGCAGGTTTATGTCACAGCCAGCTAACTGTTTCTAGATTTTCCTAGAGAGCTTTTTAGTGATTAACTCTTTTGCCTTGCCTTGGAGTATCTGTTGAAGGGATGAAGTTTACGCACGTTCGCTTTTATGGAATAGTCATTAATGCTCAGGCTAGTACAGAAACAAGCGTGTGTGTTGGTGTTACTTTGTAGTTAGGACAATGCTTCGAAACAAATGAGTGACGACTGGGAATATTTCTGGCCACATTTCAAGTGGGAAGTGAAGAATCACCATGGAGCTTTCAGGCCCTGAGAAACTTTAGTGCTACTGTTGTGCATAAGTTTAGTCATATTAATTTGTAACTTTGTTATGAATTTTGGGACAACAGGTAAAAATATCAGAGTAGACTTATTAGCTACCTGTTGTTTACCCTCCTAAGAATTTAATATTATTTAAAGAAAATGTCTTGCAGTTTTTACTAAACAGCTACTTTCTTTTATAGTGGTTAGGAAAAGTAGAAAACTAATCTTATAAAAATAGAGTAATTTAAACATTAAAATATTTGGGGGTTTGAATGCCATTTGTCTTTTACCTATAGAATACACAATTCTACATGGCATGCAGAGGTTTTACGGGTTTTCCTTATTTTTGTTGTATTAGGATAAGTCACTAGTTTTAAATGTTTTATTTCCAAAGTTCTTCTTTTCTTTTCTTTTTTTTTTTTTTTGGCGGCTGGCGGTTGCAGGGATCTGAATCCTTGACCTTGGTGTTATAACACTACACTCTAACCCACTGAGCTAACCCGCCAGGCCTTCCCTAATATTTTCAACAGTAGCCTAGTATTTAATATCATTTTTTGTATTAGCTTGCTTGAGATGATTCAAAACCTAGCAAAACTTAGTGATAAGCTCCCACCTCCATGTTCTGTGTCCCTTGTGTGTGTTTTAAGTAAATATTTAACTCTAAGTGTCCACTCCCTTTTAAAGAGTTAATGTCATACATTTTATGAAAATGGCAGTTTTTTGTTTTTATGTATTTAGCTATTTCTGTTTCTTTGTGTGTTTTAAGTAAATATTTAACTCTAAGTGTCCACTCCCTTTTAAAGAGTTAATGTCATACATTTTATGAAAATGGCAGTTTTTTGTTTTTATGTATTTAGCTATTTCTGTTTCTTTGTGGTGGGTATGCAGGATGGTTTCCCTTAGTCCTTTATATTATTCATCTCCTTTGAGAAGCATTCATCATCCCAATTTTTAAAGTTTGAAAAAAATTATTTGGCTGTAGATTAGGGCTAAATATCTCCCCTTTTTGGGATTTGAAAATACGCTTTATTGCAGACAAAAAAATAAATAAAAACAGACTTTGATAGTTCTGTGACTCACTTTTTAAAAGTGGAGGTTATTAATGCGTTGTGTGTCCTGAGACTGGAGCAATAACTTTGTACTTTTCTTATTATCATTTAGTATATGCACATAAAAAAGAAAAATATGTAGTGAATATGATGGGCCAAACGTGACATGATATGATAAGTGCTGGTAATGTTTGATAAGAAAATTTTTGGAAATTTTCGGAGGCAGTGTGTTCTTTTAGTGCCCTATATGTAAAAAACAAAAACAAAAACTTGGACTTAAAATTTCAGGCTCTTTCTGAAGGCTAATAAAATTTACTAAATTGAAGGAAGTCTCTAAACATTTTAGAAAGTAATTATTAACAACTGTGCTTCCCTAAAACAAGATTTTTTTCTCTTCTATATCATAATGAACTATAAAAGAAATAGCCTTGTCCTGTTGGCTAGGGATACCTTTAGTATAAAATAGTGATTACTTTTCAAATTTTCTAAGACTATAATTCACATTTGGTCACTGATTATAAATTTGATACAAACTAAAAGTATTCTATTGGCGCAGAAAAATAGATTTGTTTCAACAAGCTGCTTTAGTCACTTTCTCTAAGGTTTAACTTAATTTAGTAATATCAAAGGTCTTCTTAGCTGCTTCTCAAACTGAAAATAAGGACAACATTATTTTGTCTCAATATGTGCTGTTTATAATACTTAATACTAAAGTGGTTAAAATACTTCATGTGTGGTAGATCTTTTTGTCTCAATATGTGCTGTTTATAATACTTAATACTAAAGTGGTTAAAATACTTCATGTGTGGTAGATCTTTAAAGTTTTTTTTTTTTTTTTTTTTTTTTTTTTTTAAGAAAGCTCTTACTCTCTATAACATAATAGAGTGTCTGGAAAGAGATTAATTTAGAGAACTTCAAAATATAACAACTTACAATATAAAATTTTGATAGTACAATGCTGTCTTATTGAATGTTAATAATTATTTTGTGAGTTTAAGTTTATATAGTTTCCAAAAGAACATTAAGACATTAATAATTTCATTTCTTTGTAACTTTTAATCATGTATATAGATTTGGGCAAAGTCAAGCCTTTTTAAAATGCACATTTTAAATTTTTAAAAAATGTTTAAAATATATTTTCAGTTATAAGTTCTTTGTAAGTGAAAGATTTTTTCCCAAACATATGATAAACATAAAATAGATTGTATTTCTATCACCCTATATCCTTTAAAAATTTTTTTCTTATAAAGCAATATAAGCATAGATAAATACAAAACAATGCATAGCTCTCCATCATTTATTACCATTTTCAAATGTATTGCAGTCTTGTCAAAATTATAAAGATGGCTATAGTAAAATATATTTTTAAAATATAGCTCAAAATTTGGGAGTTGTATTTGTTAATTTTTAGTGTTCTTTTTTCTTAAAAGCTCTCCTTCTGAAAATAGGGGAAATCAAGTTAATTGGTTACCCAGTAAAATAGCAATTTTTAAAACTGGTTTTGATAAGCAATGAGTTAAATGTTTTTGAGTGCATTGGTTGCAATAGTAAATTCTGCTGCTGTTATTCTACATTTTTTAGGGAGAGGCGATTTACTATGTTTTTTGATGAGAACCTAATTATTAATAAAAAATAAGGGGGGTATTATTTTAATGTCTGGATTTACTAGTAGAGGTGGTAGATATACTATCACGGTCTTAAAGGTTGTGTTTTAGTAGGGGACTTAGAAATTACAACATTGTTTACAAAGTGATTAGCTTTAGAAGACTATTAGAAAGTAGATCAGTTTTGCTTTGTCTTTTCAACACTTTCTAGGATGATTCTGCTCTTATCTACGCAATGTGTTTTAAAGCACATATGTAATAAAATACAAGTGCTCAGATATACATGACAGTCAGCTTTTATAGAAGGTCCTCAGGAAAAACAAAAAAAGGCTAATATCTCTTTAAAAAACATATGAAGGCTGGGAGAGAGTTTAGAGCAAGCAAGAGCACCATGGTGTTGACAGCTTTATATCCCTGCTGGGTAACATTCACTTACTAGAATTGGCGTCTCCTCTCAGCTAGTAATTCACTCCATAAGGATTTTGAAAAAGGATGATTAATGGTGAGGAAATTTATACTTGTGAAATTGTTGATTAAAACTTACAGATCCATTTGAAGATTTAGGAAAAAAAGATTATTAAGGATGACGAAAGTAAGAATCAGATGACCCTTTTTACCACTATTAGTATAAGTATCTAAAATGTTCTGCTGTATGGAATGCTTCAGCCATGCAACCTACGGCATAAAATGAAAGTGATGCCAATGAAGTTTCCAGAGAAAACAATGCATTCTGCTTTCCTCCTGGGCTGCTGAAAGGTGCTCCCTAGTTGTGCCTTAATAGCAATAAATTATTGTGCTTCATTCATTGTTAACACAGGCATTTTCGTTTTTCATGTTTGTCTCAAAGAAGAACTTTCAGACAGGTTTATTTAAATTGAATGAACAGCACTTGAATATACCAGATGGTATATTTGCTGATAGAAGGCATTAAATATCAGAAATCTTTTTGATATTTTTCATTTTCCTGTGAATTTTTATGATTTTTTTTTTTTTTTTGGTGTTAAATGCTCTCCATTTCAGGGAAAAATGTTTAAATATTGGGAATATCTTTTAGGGATATTTGCTTTTTTTGAAAACAAGTTGCTTATTTTTGTAAAATAATTTTTGTTTGGAAAATAATAATTTTGTTGAAGAAGAGTCTGTTGAAGTTACCTTATAACTAGTCTACCCGAGGTAGAAAAATATTTCTTGCTACCAGGTAGCTTTTTCAAGAACATAACTGTCTTGTTACAAGAGGAAAAAAAATCATTATGCAGTACACACTGTTGTATTTAAATCGGGAAGCAAATGTGATCAAGATTGTTAGGCAGGGCCTCATTTAGAACAGAACATTGTCTACAACAACAGTTAGTTTAATTGTCTACATGTGGAAGATTTCTTTTTAGATAACAAGTAAAAGAAATGTAGTTCTGGTCAGGTGTAGTCACCATATTAGCAATAGTGAAACATTTTACTTTTTGAAAGGAGTGCAGATATGAAAGAATATAGATATTTATATACTGAGATGTATGAAATGCTTAGAAATTTAGCATTATATTGTCAACATGGGCAAATTGGAGAAAACTCCACTTCCAAGGAGGAACACCACAATGCTTGTAGTAAGGACTCATATTATTACTTCAAAAGAGAAAAGATTGAATTTCTCTTTCCTACCCACTTTTTTTTTAAGGTTTTAAGATCTTTTAAATAGAATGAACTTAGGCTTTGGGGTCATCCAACAACTAGCATGTCCTCTGTAGTTTTGCTGAGGTAGAAAAATAACCCTTCTTTAAAGAGATTTTAGGCCTTGGCCTGTTATTAAAATAAAGATAT